AAGCCACCTCCTGCGTCGGCCACGAGTCCTGGGCGCTCCGACACGTTTCGTTTATGGCCCAGCCCAAACCAGACTGACTTCTGCTTTCCTGCAGGTCTGCCGCCTGCCCGCACGGATCCTCCAGCCCCTGCACCCTGCCTGCGCATGAGAGCCAAGTGCTCATGCTGGGTGACGCGGGGGGATGCAAAGGGTCCCCTCTGCCCCTCCCCAGCAGCTGCCACCACGTGTCCCCCAGCAGCGCAGCTCTGAGCCGTGTCAGGCAGAAGCATGAAATTGCTGCAGATTCGCAGCATCCCAGTGCCGCTGCGAAACTAGGTTAGTCTTGTCGGAGGGGTGAGCAGGAACAGTCCCTCTGCCACCACGGGGAGATGCCGGCTCGCCAGCCCACTTGCCCGGCATCACACTGGAGGGACAGGATGGCACTGGTCTGTTAAAGCCCACCCCACCTTCCAGCTTGCTGCTCAAATCCCAATGCTGTGAGATGGCCCTGGGCTGAACAGCACGGAGGGATGCTCCGGGTGGCCCGCAGCATCCCTGGGGCAGGAGGGAGAAGCTGCCACAGCCCTTCACCCTCTCCCTCTTGCAGCCTCTCACTTGCAAGCAGCCTCACTGGGACTCAGAACAGGTTTATCGCCTTTGCTTTTTAAATGCATCCTTGTGGAAGGCACTGCTGCGGGATGCCGGGGAAGCCAATGGGGAAGAGGGTTTGATAACTAGGATAATGCAGCACCGGGGCTTTTGCAGGAACCACCCACCGCAGCTGAATTCATCCCAGCAGCTCTTTACTGGCTTAAAATCTCAGTTTCTCTAAGACTTTTCTGGGTTTTCTTTCAGTTAACACAAACCTCAAAAAGGGAAGGCAATTTATGCCATTTTCTGACAAGCAGAATTTTGTGCCTGGTTGAGCCAATGGCTCCTCCAGACCCACCACATTAGCGAGTCCCCAGGGTTTTCCTGACCTCTTCCAACAGTTCTGCAATACGCACCGCTTCCCTTTTTCATTTCCCTTTTGCGTTCATCAGCAAAGCCCAGCAGCCAAGGGGTCTCCAGGCCACAGTGCACCCAGAAACCATGCCAGGGAGTGGCAGGGGAGGGGATGAGGGGCGAGGAGGGGAAGCAGGCAGAAATCCCTCTACCACCAGCTGACACGGGGGATGTCTCCTGCAGACTGAGGTTCAACACACAATTTGGCTTTTTCGACCAGGTTTTAAGGAATTACCAGGCTTTGATCAGAAGATGTGGAGAGCAAATGCTGAAGAGGTCTTGGAAGCTACAGGCACCTCCATCGGGGATCCCAGACCCCATCACAGGAACTGCTGGCTGCGTGAAAGCCACCTGAGACATGGCTCACGTGCTGATAGCTCTTCTTCCAGGAAGGGATGGGCTGCAGAAGCCAGGAGTCACCTCTGCTTTCCCCCTGAGAGATGGGAGCGAGCACATGTCCATGAGCAAAGCACGGCCTTGCTCCCTGCCCCAAACCCTTCCCTCACACTGGCATCTGCCTCCAGGCTGCCCACGGCCACGGGGCCAACACAAAACTGCTCGTGCTGTCCAAAAAGGGCCGGGCTGGGAATGCAACACATTGTGGTCCAGGATGGCTTGCACGGGGTCTCTGTTGTCCTGGCACCTGCAGCAGCATCTTCAATGTGCTGCAACGCGCTCGGCTCCTTCTGCGTCGGCTGCTCTCTGGAAGCAACTTTGAATGGTGGAAACATGATGTCCCCTCTTCCCTCTCCAACTGTCCCAGATGCTGATGCCTCCAGCACATCTTCAACTACCTGCGGGGTCCAGCCACCTGCAGCTCCACTACCAGGGAGAGTGGAGACCAGCCCAGCTGCAGGCATGCAAAAGCTTCACTGGACACATCTTTCCCCCAAATTTTGGCTGTGCAATGGACGCAGCATCTGTGCTGACCCCGGAGATCATGAGTCAGGCCTCACTGAGTGCCTGGGAATGGGATTCCTCCAGGAGGCACAAAAGTCACAGAATCCCAGACTGGTCGGGGTTGGAAGGGACCTCTGGAGATCATCTAGTCCAACCCCCCTGCTAGAGCAGGATCACCTCGAGCAAGTCACACAGAATCGTGCCCAGGCGGGTTTTGAATCTCTCCAGAGAAGGAGACTCCACAACCTCTCTGGGCAGCCTGTCCCAGTGCTCGGTCACCCTCAGAGAGAAGTTTTTCCTCATGTTGAGATGGAACTTCCTATGCTCCAGTTTGTGCCCATTGCACCTTGTCCTGTCACTGGGCACCATAGAGAAGAGTCTGGCCCCTTCCTCTAGACATCCACCCTTTAGATATTGATGCAGGCAAGATGGATTTTGTGGCTACAAAGAGTGAATCAGGTCTTTGCAGACTCTAGTTCATCGCTGGTTTTGCCTCAGCAAACTGACCAAGCCACCCTGCCTCGGTGCCCTGGCTGGAAGACAAATGACCTTTCTGCCCAGCACACCACTTTCCAGTTGGGTTACTGGGAGAGGCAGTCAGGATCTAGCTTTTGCAGGGATGACCAGTGCCCCCAGCTCGCTCTGAACCCATCCTCTGCCACATGCACATGGACACCACGTCACCTGCCACCTCAGCCATCATCCCCTGCTCGGCCAGCACCTGGGACCTCAGCTCGCTGGCACACGCAAAGAAACCACCTCAGCCTCCACGCCGCACCCACCAGCTCTGGCAAGCAGCATGCAGAGCCAAGGTGCCCAGGCCCTGCTCCTCGCCGTGGCCAGGTGACTGTCACCCTGTCCAGAACACGATGACACCGCTTTGACACGTCCTGCTCGCGATAAATCGCTGCTGGCTGTTTTGCAGCACCATCCCCAGGTGCTCACCAACAAGCCATTCCCCAGGGACTGGAGATGGCAGCGCCGAAAGCCTGGTTCCTGGACATTTTAAAGTCTTGTCTCCACCAGAACACGGTCGTCCGTGGGGCAGAGGCAGATGCCCAAAGTGCCCTTGGTTGGATGGCTCCCATTAGCGCCTCAACCACCCCCAAAACTGCCCAGCCTCGCGCTCCTGCAGGCATCTCCCGCTGCGTGGCACAGCACCGAGTCCCTGCCGAAACCTGTCCAAGCTCCAACCCGGAGAAAAAGGCAGGGGATTTAATTTCTCCCTGTAACCTCCCTGTCCAGCCTCCCTGTCCAGCTTTGTGCACCGCGCAAGGCGGGAGCGCCTGGCAGGCGAGAGCTTCGCTTGCAAAGCCACTGCTCTTCCAAGAGCTCTTCTCTGAAACAGTTAAAAGCTGCACGGGCTCGCTCCAGCCCCCTCCAGCACATCTCGCATCACCAAGCCAAGCCATGACACCCCCCCCAGATGGACGCTTGACTCCGAGTACCCCGTTTGGATGGGAAAAAGCCAAATTCAAGCCAAGCTTTCACGACATTTCCTGTCGATGGTGGGTCTTACAGCTCTTTGGGGCTCTGAGCGCTGCAGGGCACCTATGCCATGGAGCCCCACGTCCCCTCAAAGAAGGCACCGGAGGGGACAGGGCTGTCCCCGAGCGCAGCACAGCCCTCCCAGGGAACCCAGAGATGGGGGAAAGGGGGCTGCCACCCTGAGCTGGCCGGGATGGAGCTTCCCCAGGGCTGGCAGCAAGGAGGAAGAGCCACAGAGGTCCGAGCATGAGACAATCCTGACTTTTGCCCCAAATCCTCAGCATGCTTTGGTTTCAAAACCTCTGTGCAGAGGGATCGCGCTGAAGCGACCCACATCAGCCAGACCTCACCGCCACGGGCAGGTCAGCAGCCTGAGCTGGGCAAGCACGGTGCTGCGGGACAGGGATGGGCACCCTCCACCCCAAAGAAGATGGTCTCACCACCACCACCTGCAATGAACATACATGGTCTGACTCTGCAGCACCCTTTGGCTCAGAAATTCAACATCACAGGCTTTCAGCACGGTGGAAAGCCCCTGGGCCCCTCCTGGCCACGCTCCCAGTGATGCTACCGCAGCTGAAACAGGCTGCGGTGCCCTCCCTGACCCACAGGCCCTATCTCCAGGGCCCTCTGTATCTCGAGAGCAAAAGCAGGGTTTGGGGACAAGCCTGCAGATGGCCAGCTGGATGGTCATCATCAGGTGATGCCGGGGTGACCGACACTGCCTGTAAGCCCACAGGAGCCAGGCAAGACGATGCTCTCCAGGAGAGATTCATCCCACTCCCTGCAATGCAGCTAATGACTTTTTTTTTTTTTTTTAAGAGCATGGTATCACTGAAGCTCAGTTTCTTTCATAAAAAACAAGGTTTCTCAGATGAAAGGGAAAATCCTTTGGCTGCTTTTGCTTCTTCAGCACTGTATCACAGCTTGAAGCACCACGGATGGCGGTGCTGAGGCTGCGCTGACCCAACAGCCTGTTTGAGGCAGAGATGCACAGACACACACAAGATACTCCCAGCAG